GCCGATATAAGTGATTTAACCACCGTGAGGATGTGATTCTCTCTCTGAGCCTGCCTCTGTGCCTATCCACATGAAATCTTTTTCCCCCTAATAAACACTCTACTTGTTTCACTACTTTCAGTCTTTGTGGGAATTCATTTCTGCAAAGTCATATGGGCTGGTCACTGGTCCCTGATGGTCTAGTGGCTATTATTCAGGCCTCTCACTCTGCCACCTGACTTTAATCTCTGGCCAGGAACTGAAATCCTGCTTCAAGCGGCTGCAGGCCTAGGCCACGAGAGATGGATCAATAATTTGGAAAGCTAAATAAAACTGATAAGCAATAGCAAGACTAATCAAAGGAAAGCTGTTTCAGGTAGAAATAGAACATTTGACTAGCCCTATATCTATTAAAGAAATTAAATCTGTTTTGAAAAAACAAATTTCAGACCCAATGGCTACATTGGTAAATATCCTATTTAATATTTGAGAAATAAATTATTAAAATTTGGAGAAAAATTAAAATCTGTATTTTTATATATATATAGAATTTTAAAGAAAATTCTTATCTTATATCCAGAACTTCTGCTCTATAAATTTATACTAAGAGGACAATTCTCAAATTTGAATGCAGAGGAGATTTCTTTTTACAAAATTGCTTTTATGCTTGTTATTTGTCTTAAAAAATGAAAAACATAAAAATTATAAAGCGATGCTTAAATTATAATTCTAGTGAAATTTTATAGATCTAATCATTAAAATGTATATGAAAGTGAAAGTGTTAGTTGCTCAGTGTCTTACTCTTTCCGAACCCATAGACTGTAGCCCACCTCGCTCCTCTGTCCATGGAATTCTCCAGGCAAGAATACTGGAGTGGGTAGCCATTTCCTTCTCCAGGGCATCTTCTCCACCCAGGGATCAAAACTGGGTCTCCCCCATTGCAGTTGGATTCTTTACTCTCTGAGCCCCCAGGGAAGCTGCTATATAAAATGTGTACAAGGACTGCATAATAATGAGAAAACATATGTGGAATGTTATGTTAAATGGGAAAAAAATTACTGTTGGGAGGAAAGATTGTAGTTTTAATGCTAGGGTATGCAAGGACTTTCCAAGAGATACATAGACAATTAAATAGTTTTTAAAAAATCAAATTCTAGATCTTTCACTGTTATATATATTCTCTCCTAAAATTGATATGGCCTGAGATTTCTAACTTCAATGAGATTCTTCTAATGCTACAAAGGAAATGTATAACTCTCTCCTCTCTTGAATTCTTAACTATGATGAATTATCTGAGATTGTTTGAAAAAAAAAAAAAAAACTGGGGCCCCTAACAAAGGCTGTTGGGGCCCCTAACTTCACAATATTGACACTTGTATTAGGAAAGGGAGAGTTTAATAAAGTATCAATCCTTTTACAAAAGCAGTTAACCTCCACAAATCATGTAGTTTCAAATCCTTTGCTTTCAAAAACTTGAAAAAGGATCTACTTAAGTTGTTAGGAGGTAAGTCATTAAAAATCACTTTTTGTAGATGTATCAGTATGATTTGTGATATGAAGCTTCAAAAAGTTAAAAGAGTTTAATGGTACTAGGTAAACATGGTTTTCCAGTACTTACATTTATCAAATAAATGGAAAAGAATTGATTTAAAATTTTTGTCACCTGTGAATAAATAATAATTCTCAATGTGTATATGAATTAAAAGGAAAAGTTCCATTCACATCAGTAAGAGAATCATTGCTATTAAAATTTGATTTTAAGGCTTAATAATTATTCATTGAACTTTTAATATGTTTATGATCCTTTGACCAAATTAATTCTACTTAAATTTACAATGATAAATCATTTAAAAATTGAAAGGAAAATGCAACCTTATACTCAAGTGGAAACAGCTTAAATTTTAATGTATATCCACTTTTTAGTCCTAGAGAAGAAGGATCATTGATCAATAAAATAATTTTTAAGCATTTAAATAAATGCCACTAGGATATATATTTATGGAAATATGTAAAATATCTGTTAAAAAAACTAGGATGGAAATATGAATTCAATAAGAAAATAAAAGATAAAATTTAATCCATTAAATAAAGTATTTCAATGGATGATTTTAGATATCAAAAAACTATTCTATTGAATATATTTTAATAATTTTATAATACTTTCAATCTAAACTGGCAATATTTATGAGATACCTTTAAATACATTCTTTGTAACTATTTAAAATTATGATAAATATTTTTCATATATCAGCCTAAAATATGTTAACATTTATAGAGTTTTGCAAAATTTGTTTGGGCCTATAGAAAAAAAAACAAAATTTAAACAAACGCAACCCTAATTCCTTAAAAACCCAAAAAAAAAAAAAAAACAAAAAAGTACAATATTTGGAAATTCTGAAAGGATTACTGCAAAATGGTTATGGTTATATTCAAGTACTAGCTTAAAAGTATTCCCTCTTCTACTAATTTGCTTCTTGGTTATGTATTTTCCTCAATGACTTTATTAGTTTGAGTTATTCTTGAAATTAAAATGTACTAAGATGTTTATTATAATGAATATTTAAGATATAAAATATAATAATAATGTACTTATACTGAATAAAGATACTTAAAAATAATTAGCTATAAATTTAAATGCAGTGAGTTCTGAATAAAGGCTCTAAAAGTCTTCTTGTGGGGCAAAGTCCACAAGTTTTAGTATTTCCACCTTGTAATAACTGTTTCACAGTTCCCCAGTTTTTCTTTACTATGAGATTTTTGCCAATGACATAAATAACTGGGTTTGCCAGGAGCCCATTGTCCGCCAATTAAAATATTTTGGCCTCTGACACAATTTCCCTTTTTATTTGATGTTTTCAATCTGATACTGATTGAAGTGTTAGTCACTCAGTCATGTTCGACTCTTTAAGACCCCGTGGACTGTAGGCCACCAGGCTCCTCTGTCCATGGAATTCTTCAGGCAAGAATACTGGAGTCAGTAGCCATTCCCTTCTCCAGGGGATCTTTCCCACCCAGGGATAAAACCTGGGTCTCCTGCATTGTAGGTGGATTTGCTATCATTGTGTTTACAAAAAGTTAGATTCTGTCTTGCCTTTATCTCAGCATCTTCACAAAAGTCTGATATTCTCATCTCTTACCAAAGTATAGTGACTCATAAGGTTACACAACCATTGGGAGCAAAGTTAAACAGAATCTAGATCTGAATTTGTTCTCTATTTTTGAATTCCCCCTCCCATAGAGTGAAAGACTTGATGAATCAGAAAGACTAATGAGGTTATTAACAAGTAAAAGAAAGGAAGTTATTGCACAATCAGATGTCTAGGCCTGCAAATTTCAGATTTGAGGATTAAGAACCTTTCTGTCAAAGGACGAAGGACTAGGCAACTGTTGACACGATCTTTAATTAGGGTGGAGAGGCTAATAGCTCTGTTCCAACACCAAAGGCAACAGAAGAGAAAGGAGTTTTAGAGTGAATGGGAAGAGCAAACACAAAAGAGAAAAGAAAATTAAACAGCATATATTTTCATGGCTCTTCTACAATATGAAGAATGAAGCACTTGTTCTACTTGGCAAAGTAGCCTCTGAAAGATTGATGCCTCAAAATCTAAAATAATAAAATAAATAACCAAGGAGGAGCTGTTAGGTGAAATGTGAAACTTGCTCAGTCATGTCTGACTCTTTGTGACCCCATGTCCATGGAATTCCATGGGTAGTCCATGGAATTCTTCAGGCCAGAATATTGAAGTGGGTAGCTGTTCCCTTCTCCAGGGGATCTTCCTAACCCAGGGATCGAACCCAGGTCTCCTGCATTGCAGGCAGATTCTTTACCAGCTGAGCCACCAGGGAAGCCCAAGAATACTGGAGTGGGTAGCCTATCCCTTCTCTAGCAATCTTCCCCACCCAGGAATCGAACTGGGGTCTTCTGCATTGCAGGTGGGTTCTTTACCAGCTGAGCTACCTAGTGCGGAGGAGCTGTGGAGGAAATATTTTTTCCCAAAGAACTATTAAAGCAAGCTGCATTAGAGTAAAATGACTCCTTCCATATCATCATATTTCCTGCTTGAAGTGTGAAATGTATTGTCATGATTATTTATTTGATAGATAAATGATTATATATATATATATATTTCAAACAAAAGGAAAACCTGGTTAGAACTTCTTTCTTAATTCTAGAAACAGAAAATAAAGAATAAGTATATTGTAAAAACAAACAAATAAAACAACCGTCTGACTTTGATATATAGAATTAAAGGACAATCATTCAATCTCTCAATGCTTGGGGGGGCGATATTAGTCCATCAAACTGGCTCATCTTCATCTCCCTAGCTTTGAATGCAGGTCTGTAATCATGAGGACTGAAGGAGAATATACTCTTAACATCAACATTAATATAAACCACTTTTTCACTCATTCAACGAGGCTATTCATTATGAAGCAGCAGCAAAAAGTGGCAGGACCTTCAAAAACTCTTAGAAGGGTGTTCATAATGTCCAGAAGCAGGCATATGACTTAGTACAGTGACTTCTGTCAATCTTTTGGTCCCACATTTCCCTGCAGATGACCCTACTCATAAGAAAGAGTATTCGGGCTCAAGGCCTTCAGAAGGAGATATTAAGGGACTTTTTGAAAATGCTGAACAGTTTTTAAGATATTATTTAAATATTACTTCCCAAACCTCTAGACGCACACCCCCAGCAAAAGATCTCTTAAATTCTTAAATGTATCAGTCACTAACATTTCCAGGTTCAAAGTTGTGATATCACCTCTCTTTGAGTTTCAAAAATAGCAATGTCTGCTTTGTAACTGCTACAGCTTTCTGAAAGTGAAAACTCACCCTAACATGTCTAGAAAACTGCAATCTATCTTCTCCATTTGGAGTGGCCATGTTTTATTCTTGCTGTCTTTTGCTATCAATATACAATATACCTTACCAACAATTAAAATTCTGTACCTCCAAATATTTCCCATGTCTCATGGAAATACCATGATCCAGGCTCTGCAAATAAATAAATACTCATTACCCAATCTCTGAAATGTCCGAGGATCTGTCTTCAAATCCTGGGAGCTTCAGATAGAATTCAGCTTCTTTCAGAAACAGCTGTCAATGGAACATGATCTGTTTGAAACAGCTCAGAAGATGTTGCAACCAGAAATTTCTCAACTGGAAGCAGATTAATCATGCCTTGAAACACAACACATGCTACCCAGACAACCTTGTTAGGTGAGTTCTTAGCCTGTGATGAAAAAAAGAGTTGTAATGGACCAAAGTCCCTGCTTCTGCCATGTAGTGCCTGAGTTGTGTGCTTCCAGGGATAAATGGATTGAAATCTTCTCAGCAGAATATAGACTGTCCATTCAGAAAATAATTTTCACTCAAGGATGGTTGCAATGTCCCAGTCATATAAGCATCTCTGTAAACAACCTAATCTCCTGCATCATCCAACTATAATACCTGTAATTCTGTTTATTCCCAATTATTACTTCAGTTTTCCTAGATTTTTTCTTCTTGTTCAGTCACTAAATTGTGTCCTACTCTTTGCAACTCCATGGACCATAGCCCACCAGGCTCATCTGTCCATGGGGTTTTCCAAGCAAGGATACTGGAATGGGTTGCCATTCCCTTCTCCAGGGTATCTTCCCAGACCAGAGATCGAACATGCATCTCCCACATTGGCATAGGGATTTTTATACCACTGCACCCCCAGGGGAGCCCCCCAATTTTCTCTACCTTGTTCTATAAATTGCATATTAGAATTGGCAGGTAACACAGAAAATGTTGTTTCCAATCCTTTCAACTGAAACCTAGAAAAATAGTATCTGATTCAAGATTTCCAGCTGGCTAAAGGCAACAAATAAACAAAACAAAAGACAGGAAAAAAAAATAGCTTTTCCCCCTACTCTCTAACCAGTCATTCCCACTAAGTAAGAAGCTCCTGTGTCTACACTGGGCAGAGGAGGCTTGGTGTTCAGTTCAGTCCAGTCTCTCAGTTATGTCTGATTTTTGAGACCCCAAGGACTACAGCTTGCCAGTCTTCCCATTGGTCTTCCATCACCAACTCCCAGAGCTTGCTCAAACTCATGTCCATCCAGTCAGTGATGCCATCCAACCATCTCATCTTCTGTTTTGCCCTTCTCCTCCTGACTTCAGTCTTTCCCATCATCAGGGTCTTTTCCAATGAGTCAGTCCTTCTCATCAGGTGGCCAAAGTATTGGAGCTTCAGTTTCAACATCAGTCCTTCCAATGAATATTCAGGACTGATTTCCTTTATGATGTGTTAGATAGGGGCTTAGATAGGGGCTTTTTAAGGGCTTTTTAAATTTTGTAGGGACTTGATGTTAGATAACCTATAAAAATTTTAGAATTGCACATGTTTCTATTTTCCACTTTCATACTTGCAAGAATACAGTTCTAATTTGTCTAAGAAAACTAACCAAACTTTTAAAATGACCCAAAATTAACATTTTACAAGCATTAAGAGTCATCTGAAAAGGAGAAAGAGTATTCTTGTTAGTTTGTGAATTTTCATCACTGATTCAGGAATATCTGTGTCCACTCAGCATATAGGAAATGCTGTCAACACCCTGTCTCAGAATTTTGGTCAGGCAGCCAGAATTCAGTGGCATGAAACTAATTTAAATATCTTCAGATTTTTTTTTTAGGATTGTGTCAATTTGTAATTGGATTGGAGTTGATTTGGTTCAAAATTGCAGTTGGAATTGGTTTTGCTTCTGTGACTCTGTTTCAGCAGTTTAATTAAAATTATTTAGAGATTTATTAGAAAGACTTTTGTATCCCTGTGTTTTTAACAGGAAATTACACTTTCAAGCAATGCATTCTACTAACATGTCATTTTGAGTCTCAGAATGAAAAATAAAACCAATTAGAATGATGGTATATATATTGGCAATACATAAATAACTGGAATCTAGTCTATGCTAGAAAATCAGATTATTCTTGAGCAAAAGAAATGGAAAGGTGAAGTTTTCAAGTATTGCATAGTTGATGTTGATGTATTATCAAAAATTTTCTGCAGTGCATCCCTCGGCAAAGGAAAACCATACCATTCTGTCTGGAAAATTTTTAGAGTGAATGACTTATTCATCTGTATAAGGGGTCGCTACGGTTTTGCTATTATCTCAAATAATTTGGCTGTCATCTCTGTCTCTGATATTCATTCCCACATAGTCACACTCCATTTTATCAAAAAATGTTTCAGCATAACATTGTGTATAAGGTTTTCACACGGTATTTTATAATAAATCTCATCTGTTTCCTACTTTTCTTACTCTACACTGTGTTTGGTGAAGGGGACTGGCTATTATACTGAGTTAAAACACTTGCTTGCTTTGTACCATGAAGTGCAACCACCTAGGAGTTTGCAAGCCCCAAATATCTCTTCTTTACATTTTATGTGCTGTGTGCTTAGTCACTCAGTTGTGTCCAACTCTTTGTGACCCCATGGACTGTAGCCCGCCAGGCTCCTCTGTCCATGGGGATTCTCCAGGCAAGAATACTGGAGTGGGTTGCCATGCCCTCCTCCAGGGGATCTT